TAAGAAGATCTCAAAGAGAAAGGAGACCTGCTATTTCTAATGATTATGTGGTATATCTACAAGAGTCTGAATTTGACATGGGTGTTTAGGATGATCCAGTAACATTTTCACAAGCAATGAATGGTGAAAATGGTGATAAGTGGTTAGATGCTACGAAAGATGAGTTGAAATCTATGGAACAGAACAATGTTTGAGATCTTGTTGAGTTACCAGAAGGGTGTAAGAGAGTTGGTTGTAAATGGGTCTTTAAGACCAAACGAGACTCTCATGGTAACTTAGAACGTTACGAGGCCAGACTAGTTGCAAAGGAATTCACTCAGAAAGATGGCATTGACTATAAAGAAACTTTTTCACCAGTTTCAAAGAAGGTTCTTTAAGAATCATTATGGCATTGATGGCTCATTATGATCTAGCGTTACACCTGATGGATGTGAAAACTGCCTTTCTAAATGAAAATTTAGATGAAGATGTGTACATGGACCAACCAATGGGGTTCATAGAAAAGGATAAAGAGCACATGGTGTGCAAACTTAAGAAGTCAATATACGGACTAAAACAAGCTTCATGGCAATGGTATCTTAAGTTTAATGATACTGTTGTTTCCTTTGGATTTAAAGAAAACATCGTTGATCGATGTATATATCTGAAGATCAGTGGGAGCAAGTTAATATTATTGATTCTGTATGTTGATGGTATTTTGCTGGCAACTAACGATCTTGGTCTTTTAACTGAGACAAAGAAGTTTCTCTCTAGTAACTTTGAAATGAAAGATATGGGTAAGGCAGCTTACGTGATAGGAATAAAAAAATTCCGTGATAGATCACAAGGACTGTTAGGTTTGTCTTAGAAAGCATATATTAATAAAGTTCTAGAGAGATTCAGAATGGAAAATTGTTCATCATCTTCAGTTCCAATTCAGAAAGGAGATAAGTTTAGTCTCATGCAATGTCCTAAAAGTGAATTGGAACGAAAAGAAACGGAAGGAACTAAAGGTCACGCTTACTTATAGAAGGTCTAACAACCTTGAAGTGATTGGATACACAGATTCGGATTTTGCAGGATGCGTAGACACAAGAAAGTCTACATGTGGTTACCTATATCTTTTAGCTGAAGGAGCTATATCATGGAAAAGTGCGAAGCAGACTGTAATAGTTGCGTCCACTATGGAAGCTGAATTTGTGGCATGCTTTGAAGCCACGATTCAGGCTAAATGGCTACGAAACTTTATTTCAGGGCTAGTATGTAGAATGGGCATTATGTCAGCTAGTGAATGATAAAAATTATAGTTATGTATTAAGTGTTGACACTCTGAGCTCATTAATGAATATGTGTTTCTGTTATTGTCTTATTTTCAATTTATGTATGCATGCAAGTATATGTGATGATATTGAAAATATTTATGGTCCGTTATGAAGACATTATTGTTGGACATAAATGTACACTTCCTATTAAAGTATCATGTTAGGAAGAAGAGTCAATATAGTGGTACATGGAAGGGACTATGCCGACTTGATAACATACAACCACCATGACTCATGTTGATTTTATTTCTAATAATGAATTATGATAAGGTCAATGTATAGAACCTTTAGCCTAGTAAATGCGCATTATAGTGAATGTTAATTAAATCATGAAGGGACACCTTATGACATGAGCCAAGTGGGAGAATGTAAAACTATTTGTGTCAATTGGTTTAATTAATAATAAAAGAGGCTTTATGGTAATTGACGTTTCACATTAATGATAATTGACGTTTTAATGTTTTGCATTATTGTAACGTTTCACATTAATGATAATTGACGTTTTGGCCATTAAGGGAAGTTAATTAGAAATAACTGTGATAGGCTAGTTATATAATAGTTTATATGATCAGTTTTCATATAAGGGTATCTGATAGAAAACAAACGTCCTTCTGAGTCTGCTTAGAAAAGTTGTATCCTCTCCGTATCAAAGAAGATATAAGAACGGCGAAAGGGTTAAGGCTTAGAGAAAGCATTCTACTGTTAAAGATCTTCCGCAATTATGGACAAAGGTATGTTTATGTGAAACTCATGAATTCTAAAGATCCTATGTCATGTTCTTGATTGATTACTGTTGAACATGAATCATGAATTACTGATTAAATTGCTTTCAAAACTCTCATACCAAATGTTTTCTTCTTCTTTTTTAATTGTTTGCGGTCTCATATATATTTTTATAAACATATAATGTCACAATTGAGCATGTATGGAAGTAATGACTCTTGTAGTTTTAAATGTTTGTTAAAAATTCATATGATTTTTAAAATCTTATAAATTTATATTGTCCTTTCAAATCTTATAAATTTCATTAAAATCCTTTAAAATACAATCTTATAAAATATTGATTGTAATTTTTTTTTTTTGAAAAAGTCTTTAAAATTACTACAATTCTAGATTGTCTTTTAAAATCTATAAGATTTTTTATTTCAAAATAATCTTTTAAAATCCTAATCCAATACACCCTTTAGTTGAACTATGCATTCAACTTACACAAATGGCAGAAAGGTAATGAAACAATCCTAATGTTGACCCATTTTGGATGGCAGGAAAAAAAATGATACGTCTTGAAAAGAAAGCTGAATTAACCAAAATGAATAAGGAAGTATTAAAATTGCGTGAATAAAAACCTTAAAAGATCATATATTTTGGGATGGACTGTATTACTTCATTATGCAGATTGGAGCATAAATGTTTTCAGTCATGGGCATGCATGTTGTGTTTTATTAACCATCTCTTTATTTGCTTGTGTTGCAAGATTTGCGGAAATTAGATTCTTCCATTCATTGACATAATGAAATCATTGCTGCAAGGGGAACTAGCTAGTGTTTTAGATGGTGGTCGTAAATCAAAGGTGATTACAAATTTCACATGCAAGGTAAAATTCAAGGTATTGCCAAATTTACAATTGAGCTGCTGAAAAAACAAATAAAGCAAAATACCGAACGAGATATCAATTAGGTAAGAAGCTCACAAATATATGAATAATCACGATTTATATTATATGTGTAGCGGAAGACAATAGGTATGCATGTAATGAACGTGGCCCAACCAGAAAAACATGTGATTGAATATTTGTCGACTTGGCCACTAGTTTCACCTTTAGACTGGTGTGGAAGAATCTCGGTTAGCCTTCTAGAACTTGGACAGAGAGAAGGATCTTCACGATTCTCGCAACTACTTATACCAATCATTTACTTTTCTTTCAGTAGTAGTAATAATAATAATAATAATAATAATAATAATAATAAGAGATTGTATGTATTTTTATATTTTATTTTTTTCAGCATCAGATAAATTATCTCATACAACACACACAAAAGTGAGTAGGACTCACTTTTTTATTTTCTCTCTTTTTTTATTAGGTCTCACCTACTTTTTTGTGTGTTGCATGAGAAAAATAAAATCCTTTTTATATTTAGTACAAATGCATTATATTTTGAGTTGCAAATTTTCTATCTTTTTTCTTTCCATTTTCACCCATGTTTTTATATATTTTCCATGTGAAAATCGATCATCTCATATTAAAAAAAAAATATGACATGGTTCCGTGGAAAGATTATAATCATACAAACATGAATCAATGGTTATGATTTTATGACAATTTATTTTAATATTTTTTTCTCTTTTTCTTTATTAACATTGATGTATCTTTGTATGATAATGATTTTTCACATAATCATGTCATTTTTTCAACACTAAAGGATTCAGATTCGCTTCATGTTATCCCAGAAAACGAGTATTTTAATCAGTCATCCACCCGAAAGTAATTTATGACAAAAAGAGAAAGTAATTAATGCTAAAAAAATAGCTGAAAACAATATACTCCGGGGGCAGAAATTTTTTTTGGAATAGTAGGGAAATGTAATAGATAGATAAAGTGAGATAGGTAGAAAAATATAAAAAAAAGTTGTTTGGTGTGAAAAAACTTTACTGGGAAAATTAGGTAACTTTATGAAATCAACAATGCATTAAAAGTCAGATAACCGGTTTTCCGAAAAATCTCACCTTCAAATTGGGTTTCTAAACAGTGCGGATATCTATGTTTCTCATAAATCCAGACAAATTGGATAGATGGATTTTTGGTGAAAAACGTTGAAACAAACATGGTGTTTCTAAAAGCCATACTTGAGAAAGATAGATATCCGTTGAAAAGCTCCCAACCAAACACCACCTTAAAGATTTTTCATTTTCCTACAAAAGTATAACAGGAATATTTATTTAACACAATCTAATTTCAAGTCACTAATCATTTAACATTCATTAATCATTCATCTTCTCTTGCTCTTTTGTTACCTGTCTCAATCCAAAAGATATCTTTCCCAAACTAATAATCGCCAAGGCACTGGTCAATGCACATTTTGACATTAAAAAGTAATAGAACTACTAAAAAAAGTAATAGCAGACACGTTGTTTGAATATAATTTAGCTATGAGTTGGATTCTAAGTTGTACTCTTCATTTAAGTTTATTATTATAAAAATTTTATTTATTGCACTTTAAAAACAAATTTTTTTTTGTAAAATCTATAACTTTTTCATGCTACCTTTTGCTGTAATAGATTGAGAAAAAAATTAATTAAATATTTTTTTGGTGAAAATTAATTAAACATATTTTATCTGATTGTATAGTTGAAAAAAATAAAACAACTAACAAGCAGGAGTATATTATCCTTAAACCACGGTTGAGTGGCGTAAAGGGAAATACTGTTTCGTTAGCGGTTTTCTTTAATTGGAAAAAAATACATAAAAAGGAAAACAAGAAGAAAAGGCTATGATAAGATGCCTGGCAGTCACCCAAGACGGAAAAAAATGATCGCATTTTATAGCAACACGTGTATTGATAGCCTATTGATTTCGCCAGCGTGGACTGTTTCGCCTTCAATGTTCAATGTTCAATGCGGTGCGTGCGTTCTCTTATCTCTCTTCTTTACCCATTTTTCATGATTTATAAACCACACTTTTGTTTTGCCTTAAAAAATCAAAATAAAAACCAGAGAGGAAAAAAGAAAAAAGAAAAATAAAAAGAAACGTATAGAAAGAAAAAGCTTCTCCGAAAAATTAGCTAACAAAGAAGAGAGATTCATCTCTGTTTTTCCTCTTCGTGGCTGTGGATTTTCGGATCCTCTCTTCACTTGCTTTCTCTTTCCAACACTTTTGGTTGATTGCAGGTGCAAACGCTTCTTCTCCTTCACTAATTAATTAACTCATTTACTAATTTCTTTGCTTTCTTTTTTATTTTCGTGTTCCACTTTCTACTGTTATATGCATTTTCTACTGATATTTTGGCGATTTGAATAATGGGTATGCTTGTTTTTTCATGAAGGGGATTTTTTATGGTGGTTCTTGTCGATAACGTTGCGATTTCGCTATAAAACTCTGCTTCTCTCTGTCGCTTTTTCTCCCAAGATGGTGTCTTGTTCAATAATTTAGTTTGGGTCTGGTAGTCGAGGTTCGAGTTCAGCTTTGAATCTTTTGTTAAATAGGTTTCTTTAGTGAAATTGGGTTTATCCTTTGTGGAACTCGTTTGTGACCCTTAAAGGGTCTGTGCCATCAAAGTCAATTCAAGCAAGCTAGTTTGAGATTGTAAAATGGTTGAATCAATTGCTGCAACTTCACTCCTTGGCCACCGTCCTGTATGTGGAGGGAATTTAATCAGGGATGGATCGGGTAAACGCAAGTCTTTGAATACTTTTAGGTTCCCAGCAAATGAGTTTCTTGGTGGAAGGAATGTTGTTTCTCTTCCTTTGCCTAAATACAAACAAGATAGCTTCCTATCATCATCAGTTAAGGCCCAGGCTGTGGAGCTCACAAGAGAAGCTTATTCGTACAGGGAAGACAAGTTGCCCAAGAAAGATAATAACAAGATTGATAGTGGCTTTGATCCAAGACCTGGGTTGTGGCCTCCGGTTAATAGAGCAGATAACCCTTCGCTTAGGAATCCCTTGCTTCGACAAGAGAGGATGGGATGTGGCTGGTTGGGTGCTATATTTGAGTGGGAAGGGGTTCTCATTGAAAACAACCCTGATCTAGAGAAGCAAGCTTGGCTTGCCCTCTCTCAAGAAGATGGCAAATCCTCTCCTCCTGCTTTCATCCTTAAGAGAATAGAAGGCATGAAGAATGAACAGGCAATATCTGAAGTGTTGTGTTGGTCCAGGGACCCAGCACAGATAAGAAGAATGGCTAATAGAAAGGAAGAAATCTACCAAGCTTTGCAGGGCGGAAAATATAGTCTCATGCCTGGGTCTAAAGAGTTTGTGAGTGTTTTGATGCATTATAAGATACCAATGGCATTGGTTTCCACGCGACCTAGAAAAAATCTTGAGTCTGTTATTGGAGAATTTGGTATTGAAGACAACTTCAGTGTTATTGTAGCAGCAGAGGATGTTCACAGGGGAAAGCCTGATCCAGAAATGTTTGTGTATGCAGCTCAGCTTTTAAATTTCATACCCGAGAGGTGCATTGTGTTTGGAAACTCAAATCAAACAGTGGAGGCTGCACATGATGCACGTATGAAGTGTGTGGCTGTTGCTAGCAAGCATCCTGTCTACGAGCTTGGGGCTGCAGACTTAGTTGTCAGGCGCCTAGACGAGCTTTCGGTGGTTGATTTGAAGAATCTGGCTGACATTGATTCGGCTGAATTTAGGTCTGACGAGCCTGAGGTGGAGCCAGAGATGGAAATAGATTATGACACATCATCTGTTGATGACAGTTTCTGGTAAATTCTCCAAATGTACAGTAGATTGAACTTCATCTGATTCTTGATGATATTAGTTACAAATTAGTTACTTGTGTATATGAAAAACAGAATAATTGGGAAAAAAAATGATAGGCAGTCTGCACTGAAGAAAGATGTTACTACTATTACTGTATTTTCTGTACTATATACATGCACGGTATTTTCAGATTTGATTTGCTTTTGTTTCTATCCATGAGATGAAATACAAATTACCAAAGTTTAGATCATCTCTATATTTGGTCCATAAAGTTTATTTTGTGACATAAAACCCCCTAACTCTTGTAAAATAAGATGATATATCTAATATTGGGTAACAACTAACACTTGCCTCACAAGTGACCTAATTTTAAACTATTTTTCCTCTGTTTCTTCTCTTAGTCTTCAAAACATAGAAAGATGACAGCTGTATTTATGGGGGGATTGAAGTATGCTAAGCCTGAAACATTGATCATAATTAAGGGATAAATGAGAATAATGTAATGGGGGAAAATGAGGATTGATAGATCATTTGTTTGCAGTGTTATAATACTGTGCGTTATATATTACATCATCCACTTTTCTGTGTGCTTATACTATACAAGATTACTGATTATGGTGCTTTTAGGTTCTCGTAATTTATTGAGCTAAAGGAAATTTTCTTTTAACTTTCAATGGTTATATTATATATGATAGTTATTTTGATAATATTGTTTCATTGTAAGTTCTCCCTTCCCCATTTCTAAAGTAGGGGTTACAAATGTTTGTGTTATGTGTTATTTTATCTGAAGCATGGGATGCTTGTCGGGGACCACTTTCGGTTAGTAGTTTATTGATATTAGAATTTCATTTCTACTTTTAAAACAAGGGGGCGAACCGGAGCACTGGTAAAACTGTTCCTTCATGACTGAAAGGTCATGAGTTCGAATCCAGGAAATAACCTCTTTGCAATTATGCAAGGGTAAGGCTGCGTACAAGGATTTCCTCCACCCCACACTCGCTAGTCGGGTTTAATGGGGAGTGGTTTTTTTTTAAAACATTTTGAGTGTTTTAGCAAAATATGAATTCATTTTGCTTTTAAGTAACGAGTTCTTTGTGAACCAAGCTACAATTAAGTCTCTGATAGCTGATATAAATGTATTGAATAGAATGCTCATCATACTTTTAAGAAGTTTCATTCAGAAGAAGAACCCTCTGAATGGTTGCATATGGAACGCGCTTTTCATTTTCTCTTTATAGCATTCCAGAAGTTGACAGCAAGTAAAAGGGGCAACCACCCCGAAGCGCACAAGTGTTAATTGAAAGTAGAAGGCTCCCCCGTTGAGAAAACACCTAGGACACACTAGTCAGTAGTCACCAAGGTGTGGCAATGAAAGGTGAAAATGGAATATCTAAAGGCTCGTGTTACTCTGGCCCCTTATGCTTTGTGTTATATAATAGCTAGCTTAGGATTAACAGTACTTTTGGGTGGCCCATCTGCCATTACCTTTTAGTTGACAATCTAAGGTTGCAGGCAATGAAGGGGTTAAAATTTTTTGTAAAAAGGGCGAAAGAAATAAAATTTACATGGTAATATGAGGTCAATGCATAGTTAGATTTAAAAAATTCTTTCAAGTTTTATTGGTTTATGAGGAATAATATGGATGAACACTCGAAAGTTGAGCTTGAATTGGATGAACTTATATTATAAGTAAAATATTTTTCGGGTCTTCAACACAACAAAAATTACAGGATTCATTTTAATCTTTAGAAGAAAAAAAGTCCTTGTGACCCTTCTGAAATTCAAAATAATGTTAGTTAGTCGAAATTGTGGTCTCTCTGAAATTCAAAGAAGATTCACGCTAGTTCTTCACAAAGATTAACATAGGTCAATTTTGAATTTTAAAAGAATCATGACTGGGTCCCTTGATATTTGTTGAGGACTCAAAAATGCATTTTACTCTTATATTATCTTTTTGTCAAGTCTGAATGGGTCTTAGACTAAGATTTACATAAACTTAAGGGGGTGATGGGCCCTTCCTAAGCCCTCCGTGATTCCACCATTAGTTGTAGGTTTAGTGACCTTTATATTTAGTTTGGGATGTGTTTAGAGATGAATGGTGATTGCCATCGACTCGAGATTGGAGCTCCTCAGTTAAAATCAACTTCCGACCTGGGTGGATATTATATTAAACAAGATGGTATGATAACCATGCTGTTATGAAACGCAAGTAGCTGAACTGACAACATTTACTGGCACCTGAGTATAATATATGCAATATGTGATTTCCTCCAAAGAAACGGACTACCCATAAGGTTCCTTCTTTTTATTTTCTTTGGATTTTTGTAAATTTTTGCACCCTCCTTTCCTTACTGGCATCTGTTTGGTTAGGTTTGATTGTGAAAAGTAATGAAGGAGATTGGGCTTCATCTTTCTCTTTTCCAAAAATCAAACAGAGAAAATGATAGAAAGGAGATAAGGCAACGTGCACGTGGGTTATATAAATATGAATAGCTAACGTCTTCAATGTTTTCTATATGTCGGGAGGTTTTGTAGATCAAGGTTGTGTACCAAACGTTAAAATTGAATGAGAAATTAAATCGTTGAATGCGCGTAGAATCAAGTGAGTTTGTACAGTGATGAATAATCTGAATCATCATTATCTCGTAAATAATGGATATATATTTTTGTAAGTGTAAATACGCTATAAGCCTCCTTATCTCATTGTCTTTGTTGTTGAGAACAGCCACCTCTCGACATTCCAACACCTCCTCTCTTAGTTGTAGGTTCTCCTCTTTAAAAGCTGGGATATCTGGATTTGTGGATCTTTCTAATTACTCTTGAGGTGTGATGGGAAAGTACATGGACACTAAATTTTTTTATCTTTGATTGATTTTAGAAGTTTATGAATAGAATATATTTATGGAAGCTAAAAGAAAATCTAGGTCTAAAACCCTAATCTCTATTTAGGTTTCTTTTACACACTCAAGGCCGGAGCATAAATCCAACAAAAATATCTTAAACTACGAGAGTAATTTGTATTTTATGGTATTAGAAACGATGATGAGTGGAAAAAAGACACTTGAGATTTATTCAATTCTTCATTGATTAAACGAGTGAAAACAGTGAAAAGTTACTGCTATATAATAGGTAAGTGGAAGTAGGTTTCATCTGGAGAATTCTCTTCTATAGTTAAATAAATTTTAAGGAATATTAAGGATGCAAATTTCAGATATCTGTATGTGAACTGATTGTGAAAAAGTAACGTAAGGGAGAGGAATTCGAAGTGAAAAGGTTGCAAGTCATACAGACAAGTTGGAGAGATGTTCTCATGACTTACTGTGAAAAAATCTTAATCACACCTTTCTTAGTCTCTACTCTCTACGCAAACACAATGGATACATAGCAGCTTGCCCTTCCCTCTAATCTTCCCAACCAGTAGTCACCACAATTGAAATTTAGACGCCGCTTATCAGAATATGAATTACGCGGATCAGATGATTTTTTTCACACTCTTTAAAGTTAAAACAAAGCACTTCCTATTTTATTTTTTATGTTATAATCAGCAAAATTCAATGTTGACACAGATTCTCAAGATCATTTGAGATGCTGATTATGACAGTTTCAATAGATTGAGCGGGAAGAGGGAAGAATAAGGTGTTATTGTGGGTGTAAATGAGTTGGGTCGAGGCAAACTTTAGCTTAAATGAGTCAAGTTTATGAAAAATATTTTGAGCTTGGCTTGACCCATTAGCCTAGTACGAGCTAAGTTCTAAGCTTGACTTGGCTTGTTTGTAAAAAATTAAAGGTTTGGTTTGAGTTTGACCTGGTTTATTTGTAATTATAAAATATATTTTTTCAAAACTCACATACATTCAAGAAGGTTGGGAGGAAATGAGAGACCAATAGTCAAAGTGCTTATTTGTGAAACTATTATTGAAAGAATATCAGTAGACAATAATAACAAAATAGGGTTAATGATTCAATGACATAAAAATATATTGTTAAAAATATATCAAGTCAGCTCACGGGCTTTCAAGCCAAGCCAAACCTCATTACATTAGGTCTGAGCTTATTTGCTAAACAAGTTTTTTTAAAAGCTTGAACCTGTTCTATTTATTAATTAAGTCAGGTCAAGCCAAGTCTAAAGCAAGTCAAGCTTTGGACCCCTGACAAGCCACTCGGTCCATCTAAACCCCTAGTGTTATCTCTTCATTTTTTCTAGTTGACTTAACATTTTGTTTAATCATTTTCTCTATGCGCTTTCGGTATTAATTAAAATTTTCTTATTAATTAAGGTTTTAATTTGGGTTGTCGTCCTGCTTTGGAATATTATTTTAATGATCTTTATGGCTCCTAATATTGGTCCAAATCATTAACTAAATATCAAGCAGCTTTTTTTTAGATCAACCCAAATATTAAGTCCAAACGTGATGAAAGTAAAAAATGTAACGAAGAAATTACAAGTTTGATCCTCCAGTATATCTATATTTGAATTATTTTACCCAAATATTTCTAACTACTTTACTTTTTTTTTTGATCCTCCAGTATATCTATATTTGAATTATACCCAAATATTTCTAACTACTTTACTTTTTATATATTTATGTCGTTTAATTTTCGATGAATATTAATTCTGATATCTTTTTATGTAGTAAAATATATTACATGGTTATTTTTTTGTATATTATTACATGGTTATTTTAATAATATAGAAATGGATTCAATATTGAATGATCAATTCTAATTATTAGTTGCTAAATTTTGGATTATATTTCAGTAAACTTAAGTCATAGTAATGGTTTTTTTATATAAATATACTCGCGCGCACAAATAGGGATGTCCATCAACCGATTCAAACCGCAGTAACCGAACCGAAAACCGAATAAACCGAAAAACCAAAAATCGAAAAAAATCGTAAATTTTAATTGGATTGAATCAATTTTCGGATTGATAGATGAAAACTGATCCAATCCAAACCGATCCAATATATTAATTTTCCTCTACCTACTTGGGTCTTTCCCCATCATAGCCCAAGAATTTCTAAACCCAAAACCCATTAACTAGGGGTGTTCGCGGTCTGGATTGGATCGGTTTTGGAAGCAAAAATCATCCGATCTAGTTCTTTCGGTTTGATCACATAATTATCCATTCAGTTTGGACTTTTTTTCAAATCCGATCCGATCCAATCCAATTTTTTTCTGTTTGGATTGGATTGGTTTTCGATTTTTTGAAAATCCTAAAATTTGTTTCTTG